AGCGCAAAACACGGTTAAAACAGGAAGCATTTTTTAAAGTGTTTTGTTTGTGTGTTATTTAATGTTCCACTCAGAAATATTCCAGCTTTATGGCGGCGGTCTGTAAATAATCGACTCTGGACCAGACAATCCAGTGATCAACAGCGTGCACATTGATCTACGCAATTGAGGTACGATGACATTGTGTCAACCAAGGCAGCGGTCCTGACCACCCGATCCCGTTAGTCGCCTCTTACGACAAGCATGGGTTGCGAAAAACAATTTTAACCTGGATCGTTGTTTGTTGTTTAATACAGCAATATTCCAGCTTTGTGGCGACGGTCTGTAAATAATTCGAGTCTGGGATAGACAATCCAGTGATTAACATCTATCTACGCAGTTGGGATTCGATGACATGTGTCAAGAGAGCCTGATCTCCCGATCCCGTTAGTCGCCTCTTAGGACAAACATGGGTTACTGAAGATCAATATTCTAACCCGGATCTTCACGGATCTGTTTTGTTGCGACACGGTGGGATTCGAACACAGACATACAACTATCCGAACGGACGTTCCCTTCCACTACACTATCAATGGAGTCCCGGAGTAAACGGACAATACCTGTTCCAAAATGTATTTTATACAATTTGAATGTTTTTTCTTCCACATCAGTTCTGTTCAACGCGGCATTTAGTCAAAAATTATAACCGGTTAATGTTAAAGTGGGCTGGTGAGGTAGCCAAGTGGTTAAAGGGTTCGCTCGTCACGCGAAACCCGGGTTCGATTCCCGACATGGGTACCCGGTTTCGATTCTCCCGCCGTGGGCTACAATGAAAACCAGTTTGTTCATTCACCAGCGTATTGTTGAAATTTAGCCTAGTGGTTAAAGCGTTGGCTCGTCACGCCGACCAACATGGGCACATCCCATTTCTGGTGTCCCCGCCGTGGTACCAATATTGCTAAAAGCGGCGTAAAACTAAACTAAGTCGTCAGTGAGTTAATGTCGTTGAGCATGTCAGAATGCGTACTATACGACATTATTCGTCCCATATCTGGTGTCATCCGCCCTGATATTGCTGGAACATTGTTATAAGCGGCGTAAAACGTCACTCACTCATGCTTACGTTCTGATTCCTAAGGATATAGAGCTCACAAACATATTTTAATGAAATAGCGGAGGTCTCGCTAATCCAGCCGGCCAATTCCAATACCACCATGTGATGGGCGCATTAGAAAAGACATTTGCTCTGATATAAAAGATTAGAGTATAATGCGAAAAGTCATTTGTCTCATTACAAATATGACAAAAAAGAAAATTGAACAGACAAAAAAGCGGTCTTACTATAATGTATTTTCCAACATCTCGAACTCATTTCCGGTTCCCTGAGAGGTTTTAAAAATAGAGAATGGAGACAGGCGAACCTTTTTGTGAAAGAGTAGGAAAGTACTATTGAGATAATCATAGTGCCCTTTGTTATACTTAACAAAGAAGCTGCCTGAGTTTCCCGATATCTGCATGTGCTGATCATACGTCTAAAAGAAGGGACGGTGGAGTAGCGTAGTGGTTAAAGTGTTCGCCCGTCACGCCTAACACCCGGGTTCGATCCGCCACATGGGTACAATGTATGAGGCCAATTTTCTGGTGTCCCCGGGATGTCTATCTGACGACCGCGTCATACCAAAAGACGTTAAAATATGGTACTTGTTGGTCCCTGCCTGGCGCTCGGCATTAATGGGTACAACAAGGACTGGTCGGCTCGGAGTCAGTATAATGTGTCTGAGTGGGGTATTCATGCTTCACTGCGGCATGGTATCTCAGTGGGCTAGCACTATAAAACCAGCTTCAGTCTGGGCTAGTACAAGCAGGCGCACATACACATACACACGCATGCACGTCGTCATATGAGCGAAATATTCTCAAGCACGACGTTAAACCCAATTCCACCACCACCTGTCGAGCTGGGGTCTTCACACCTGGCTGTGCTGAGTTGCACCTGAATGTGTGCTGCTGCTGTTCCGTTTGTCACCCCCCGGTGTGAAGCGTGAAAATAGCACAATATCACATGATAATTTCTTAAACAACTTTTCCGCGATCGATCAGTAGACGTCAGATTTCAGATCATGTTCGGTACAGAGGTTTCAGGACCATGTGTCTTATTTATTTTTTTTGCACTTATACCAATTTCGAGATATTTAATCATTTGTCGTTCTCACTTGAACCCAAAAGAAAAAGAATATTACTAAAAGCGGCGTAAAACCGAAGCCACTCACTCACCCACCTCACCTGGCCCGCCCCACCCTGCCCCGCTAAACCTCGCCTCACACACCAACACGGTTTTCTTAATACTCAACGTCAACAAAGCATTTCATTAAAAATAACACATATCGTTGCCAAGGTGACATCATCCAAAATCAATATTTTGACAATTTTTATGTAGAAATATTAGTCATAAAAATTAACGCAATAATATCCCAAAGAAAGGATGAGCATCATGATCTGTGTGATTTGAACTTTGAGTCTTTATTATCCAAATCCACAGATTCAGTCATTGGACTCTTGATATTGACATGACAGGGATATATGACATGGAAATAGCCCTCAGTCTGTCAAACATCAGCCTTGACGAGCGAAGATACCTTTTATATTTCTTTTTGTTTTTCAACCACTAACACATATGATGCATGTTCGTACGTTTCATCTCAAATATCATGCTTTTTTGTCATAAAATCTATTTTTCCCCAATATCAGGTTCGCAGCGTGATCACATATGAATGTTCTCGGAAAAGAAAATATCAAAGGCGGCGATGATTACAAAGGCTTGATCCTTGTCGATTTCAGTGAAATGCACACGTTAAATAAAGCCCTTTCATCAAATATTACTTCTCGTGGCGCACGCGTGAAGCGCGGACTTGCACTCGTCCGGGACATATTTTCTCAGTATGTTTTCAACCCTTTGTCATTGTCGCAAGATCAGCCTTCCCCGCAAATCATACTGGAGTCAAATGTGGTTTACTTTAAAGATTATATTCTCAGTCAGGTAAAAGGGTCTACATACTTTCATGAGCACTTGTACTCGCCGGAGGCAAGCGAAAAAATCTTTATTTTATTTTCGTTGAGAATAATTAGTTTGACTTTCACTGCGGTGTCAAATCACGAAGATATTGATCACATAGGAGTAATTTGTATCCAACTGAAAAATGGTTGTGTTTGATGTGCTCACACGCAACAATGTATTCATCATACAGTTTTTGTTACAGATTACACATTTCATTTTTATTTTTGTTTTGTTCGTGAAGTCCGTTTTGTCGATGATAAACATGTGGATATATGCCATAGGAAATGATTAATGGAAAAATTTGCAAATTCATTACTTCTTCGTTCTTGTACTTGGGGCGGTGGGGTAGCCTAATGGTTAAGGCGTTCGCTCGTCACGCTGAAGATCCGGGTTCGATTCCCCACATGGGTACAATGTGTGAAGCCCATTCGTGGTGTCCCCCGCCGTGATGTTGCTTGAATATTGCTGAAAGTGGCGTAAAACTACACTCACTGTTGCTGTACGAGGTATTTCTTATTGCTATGTTTCTACTGTTACAACAAGGGGTGGGGCGGTGGGGCGGTGGGGCGGTGGGGGCGTGGGGGTGGGGTTGTGGGGTGTTAATGTAGTGTGATGGGGTGGGGTGATCACGGTGAAATCGTATTTTTCAGATTAACTTCTTTCTTTTGGGCAAATCAATGCGACGATGTCAAGTTTAGCATTTGTCCGTGCACGTTTAGCATATTATGGAATTGACACTTGAAATATGTTTTCCGAGCATATTTGGACATTCGTAGCGATATCTTACATTGTATTTTCAAATCTGAAAAATACACTGAATATGTCAAAGGTGATATATTTTATAATAACGTGACAGGTACATGTATGTGGGAATGGGTGACACAGTAATCTAAATCGACGCAATGTTTAGCTGACCAGAGTCGCGTCCCTTTGGCTAACCAGATGAGTTCGAATCTCAGATTTGCGAGTAATGTTGTGTTGGTTTATCCGCAAATAGTCATGCTCGTGAAACGTGTGTGACCTGCATCACTTCGGGAGTTTCTCCCACAATAAACAGACACGCCGTCATCTGACGCAAATTCTATTCACAAAGGAGTAAGGGGCGGTGGGGTAGCCTGATGGTTAAAGCGTTCGCTCGTCACGCCGAAGATCTGGGTTCGATTCCCCACATGGGTACAATGTGTGAAGCTCATGTCTGGTGTCCCCCGCCCTGATATGGCTCGAATATTGCCTACAGAGGATCCAGAACACAGCTGCCAGGATTGTAACCAGATCACCAAAGCACTGCCACATCAAACCGGTTCTTAAGTCCCTGCACTGGCTCCCAATCCAGCAGAGAATCCAGTTCAAAGTCCTGACACATACCTACCAATGTGTCAATGGAACAGCGCCAAGCTATCTTTGTCAATTGATCAGCGAGTACCATCCAGCCAGAATACTCAGATCATGTTCGCGACACAATCTTGTCATTCCACGGACAAAATTGAAAACCTTTGGGATGTCGGTCATTCTCCAACGTATCGGCACAGCTCTGGAACGCTCTTCCAATGGAATTGAAAACTTCACCATCAGAAACCCAATTCAAACGTCAGCTCAAGACGTTCTTATTTAACTAGCACTTTGTGTTCCACCTGTGCTACTCTGACAAGCGCTCCGAGCATACATGTGTATGGAATTAAGCGCTATACAAGCAACCTTATTATTATTATTATTATTGCTAAAACGGCGTAAAGCCAAACTCACTCACTCACTCACAAAGGAGTAAATGCAACCAATGTACTCAAGAGAGGAAAAGAATTTATGGATGATCATCATCATTTCTATACCACCAACTTCTAGAATGCCGCTAAAAACACGTTACTCAAATATATATGTATGAATTATAATACTCTCACGAGTATCAGTACATAATCATTGTAATCGTATCAGACCTTTGAATTACACCTGTTTTTTGATTATTTTGCAGGTGATGAGTGGCATATGGTTGCTAAGTGACATACTCTGCGACGCCTGGGTCGCTGCTGACGTCATGGCATGTACAGCTTCCATCCTCAACTTAACCGCCATTAGTGTAGATAGGTAAGTACTTATCACTCTCGGTCGTTCGTCACGCCGAAGACCCGGGTTCGATTCCCAACATGGGTACAAAGTGTGAAGCCCATTTCTGGTGCCCCCCGCCTTGATATTGCTGGAATGTTGCTAAAAGCGGCGTAAAATCAAACCGGATGGGGGCACCAGAAATAGGCTTCAGTAGTTTATTGGTGCTGGTGCAGTGGTCAAACAATGGACAAACAGGAACCAGGAGGTCAAGGGGTAAACAGCCCTGATTGGTAATTAGGCACTGATAGGTAATGGACAAAGGGATGGCAAGCGGCGTAATTTTTCTTCGGAGATATAATAACATGGCGCCACTATATATCTATCGTATCACATGGCACTGCAGATATACTTATCGTATAAGATATACTTATCGTAACTAGCTGTAGATGCACCTATCATATCACAACGGACTACAGATATACCTATCGTATCACGACTCACTGTAGATATACCTATCATATCACGAGTCACTGTAGATATACCTATCGCATGACGACCTGACTGAAGATATACCTATCATATCACAACTCAATGTAGATATACCTATCGTATCACGACTCACTGTAGATATACCTATCATATCACAACTCACTGTAGATATACATATCGTATCACGACTCACCGTAGATATACCTGTCGTATCACGACTCACTGTAGATATACCTATCGTATCACGACTCCCTGTAGATATATATATCGTATCAAGACTCCCTGTAGATATATATATCGTATCACGACTCACTGTAGATATACCTATCGTATCACAACTCACTGTAGATATACCTATTGTATCACAACTCACTGTAGATATACCTATCGTATCACGACTCCCTGTAGATATGTATATCGTATCACGACTCCCTGTAGATATATATATATCGTATCACGACTCACTGTAGATATACCTATCGTATCACAACTCACTGTAGATATACCTATCGTATCACAACTCACTGTAGATATACCTATTGTGTCACAACTCACTGTAGATATACCTATTGTATCACAACTCATTATAGATATACCTATTGTATCACAAGTCACTGTAAATATATATATCGTATCACGACTCGCTGTAGATATACCTATCGTATCACGACTCCCTGTAGATATACCTACTGTATCACAACTCACTGTAGATATACCTATTGTATCACGACTCACTGTAGATATACCTATCGTATCACGACTCACTGTAGATATACCTATCGTATCACGACTCCCTGTAGATATACCTATCGTATCACGACTCCCTGTAGATATATATATCGTATCACCACTCACTGTAGATATACCTATCGTACCACGACTCCCTGTAGATATATATATCGTATCACCACTCAGTGTAGATATACCTATCGTATCACGACCTGACTGTAGATATACCTATCGTATCACGAAACACTGTTGCTATATTGAACAGATCACGACCTCACGATAGATATATTTAGAATGTATCGTATTACACGATTTCACGGATTCGCCAGTAAAACAAAAGGCGTGGGGACTGAAAACGCACGGACAATAACTTCCCCTGCAGTATCCTTATTGCCATACCTGCAGCTGTCAAGTTGACCAAGTTAAAGAAACGACAGGTAGAAAATATTTGGTATAAGATGGAACGTCTATAATAAAACATGTTCCCCAAATTTCTAATTTACACAAAGTTATATTTTACATTCTCTTTTTAATTTCATTTTCTAAACATAATTGTATGTCATTAACTGGCTACAGACTAAGTTTGTTTCGAGAGAAACACAATGCACAAGTATGGGATGGTTGAAACAGGACAACGTACAAATGAGGATCTTTTTGCGATATCTTTAAAGAAAACGATTAGTTTCTAAATAAATGAGTATGTCAGGCCTTAAAGAATCATAAACATTAATTCTTTCTTGAAGATTGCCAAATGTTTTAGACATTTATTAAGTTAAAAAGCAAATGGTTTGGCAATTCAAATATTTTATGTATGCAAATAAAGATTCAGTTCCAGAACGCGATGATGTGTGATATCTCAGCTATTAAAAACAGACAATAGGAGTGTTAATCAAAGCCAGCACAGAAATACGTGCGACGGATCCATCGTTTTATTTTCTGTACATATTTCACCTACAGTGAATTCTCATCAGTGTCACGCACCGTGGGGAATTCTTTTAAAAATATATTTTATCAATTCTGTCATTCTCTACTTGCTCTCGTCCTAGTCTGTCAGGTAGCGTTTGAAATGACAAATTGATTTAGACGCAAAATCACAAATGAGTTAAAACATATCTACCGGATACTAGAAAAAATTGATTGTGAGCTCCTACGGGAAATTTACTGTTGGACATGTGGTAAACGTTTCTTTAGTTTAATTAACTCTGGCATTTGCAATGTACAACAGGGACAAGCAGGTCTGAGAATTTCTGCAACTTAATCGATATTTCCTAATCGATAGTTAAACAGGTGATGGGATCGATTGTTATGAAAAAAATAGCGTAATTATCATTATCGACATTTCTGCTTTGCAACCGCTATCTATTCCACAAGGATCTCGTTTGAATGTTTGACTGTCGTGACAGACAACTGTCAACGAATTGATGAATTTTTAACAACCTTTGTATCTTTTTGACAATTGACAAATTGCTGTAATTTCATCTAAGATTTTTAAACTACCCCCGCAGTTTGGAACTACCAATAACGAGAGTGAGTGTGTTTAAATTTACGCCGTTTTTAGCAATATTCCAGCAATATCACGACGGGGGACACCAGAAATGGGATTCACACATTGTACCCATGTGGGGAATCGAACCCGGGTCTTCGACATGACGAGCGAACGCTTTAACCACTGAGCTACCCCATCGGTCCTCGAGAGCCGAATCGTGTAGTATATGGCGGGAAGGTCTAAGGAGCGCAGGTTATAGATACTTTCCTCTAAACGGAAGGGGCATGGTTAAAGCGCCCGCTCGCCATGCCCAATGCCCTGGTTCGATTCCCCACATGGGTACAATGTGTGAATCCCATTTCTGGTGTCAGTGATATTGCTGGAATATTGGTAAAGGCGGCGTAAAACTAAACTCACTCACTCTATACTGAAATACGCCAACAAGCGTATGATGCTTACATGTCAAGGGTATGTCACCTGAAGCCACAATCATAGGATTCTGGTACACGGAAGGGACACTACTCTGCATGTACTTGTTACTTCATGAATTGTGAATATTAGGACTTACATAGAGGATGACTTTAAAATGAGTCAGATAAATGAGTGAGTGAGTGAGTTTAGCTTTACTTTGCTTGTAGCAATATCCCAGCAATATCACGGCGAGGGAACACCAGCCTGCGGTGTGACACTGTATTATTGCTAAAAGCGGCGTAAAAATAGACTCACTCACTCACTCACTCCAGCTTCCAGAATGAGTGAGTGTGTGAGTTTGGTTTTACGCCGCTTTAGCAATATTCCAGCAATATCACGGCGGGGGACATCAGAAATGGGCTTCACAACTTCCAGAATGAAGTTACACATTTCCTGATATTATCCTAAATGTGAAAGGTAAATGAAGCGGCAAAAATGCTCAACGTACACTATCATAATATACGATTCATCATTTAGTATTTTGAGAAAATAATTTGTGTCCGGCCTCTATTACCCCAAAACACTATTTTCTAAATAATCGGGGTCCCACGTTTTTGTAATTTCTTTTATTTTTTCTGTTTCAGATTCATCGCTGTAACTCAACCGATCAAGTATTCGAAGCATAAAAACTCTAAACGTGTGTTCATTATGCTTGCAATGACTTGGATTATATCTGTTGCGATCGCCGCGCCTATTGCGTTGGGAGTCAACTACTCCGACAAACGCATTGCCGGTGTGTGTGCATTCTTTAACTCGGACTTCCTCATATATTCATCCATGGGTTCATTCTACATCCCTTCACTTATGATGATATTTCTCTATTGGAGAATATACCGGGTGTTGAGGCAGAGAGCAAGGAAGGCCATGAGAGCCAAAAAGATCAAAACTGTAGATAAACGAACGCTCCAGAGTGTCATAGAAAATACTCAGGCCACGCAGGCCCCGTCGGAGCCCACGGTAACCACGGGGCTGGCTCGGATGGATAACGGTAAAGTAGCATCTTATAACACTAATAAATCTCATAAACTGGCGCCTCCGGTTGTGGACGATACGTCGGTTACAAACGTTCCTTCCGCGTCGGACTCCCATTCCCATGACAACGAAGATGAAAGCGGAGGGAACGACGGCAGCGGGCCCAAAAGTCCTGGGTCCGATGACGGTATAATCCACAACGATGATGTAGGAGGTGAGCTCATAGCCAATCCCGTAGCGGAAGCTATGGAGAAACAGGAAGCTGATGGACTTGCTACTACTTCCGGTCAGAGTGCTGGAACGGAAGCAGAAACGCCCTTCAATTCACCTGGTGCTTCAAAAGGGTCCACGCCAACGAAACGTCGATCTAGTGGTCGTGCCGCGGGAGCAGCCGGACCTAAAAATCAGAAGGAAAATCACAAAAAGGGTGTGACAAAATTTAATTTTCATATGAGGACTAGTCGGAAACGAAAGGAGAGATCGTCAAATAAACGTGAGAGAAAAGCCACGAAGACGTTAGCAATTGTTTTAGGTAAGCATGCCATTTTTTGTTTGTTTGCCATTTAACATGGGGCTGAGTAATGTGGGTTTTAAACCCCTTTTCGCAATATTCCCACAATATCTGGGCGATAGGCACTAGAAATCAATCTTTCTTAAGTTATGGGATATTATACTGAGAAATGAACTGAAATGCTGCTTTGCCAGCATACAAATGTTACGTCTGAAGTTTTAAACTGTTCTAAATCAGTGAATAAGATTTTACACTGCTTTTATCAATATTTCAACAATATTTGGGCAGGGACACAAGAAATCAATCTATCTTAAGTTAGTATATAAAGATAAGAACTATTCTGCTGTCTTGTCAGCACACAGATATTACGTCCAGAGTGTTGGTTTTATGTTGGCATAGACTGTTCTAAGTGAGTAAAATAGTGAGTAAGTTTGACTTTACACTGCTTGTAGCAGTATTCCAACACCAGAAGTGAACTTCACACATTGTACCCATGTGGGGAATCAAACCCTTGCTTTCGGCGTGACGAGCTCACCCTCGGGTACCCCACCACTCCTAATCTTATAACGCTCCACGCAGTGATATAGCTGGCAAGACACCCTTTCTTCCAAATCATCTGGTTAATGACCAACACAGGTTATGTGTGCACTGTTCAAAGAAACCTCACTGGGCGATGTTCCCGGTTTTTTAACCAGGTGGGTTAGTTGTCATGTAAGCCTCCTAAATATCAAAGTCAGGTACAGTGAGTGAGTGAGTTAGTGTAGTTTTATGCCACATTGGAGAATATTCCAGCAATATGACGGCGGGGGACACCAGAAATGGGCTTCACACATTGTACCCATGTGAGGAATCAAAGTCCATTTCTGGTGTCCCCCGTGGTGATATTGTTGAAATATTGCTAAAAGCGGCGTAAAACTAAACTCACTCACTCACATGTAGAGTAAGACATGACACCAGGTGTCTCCATTGATTTCTCGGTCGTAGCATAGTTGCTGATGTGGCATTAAACAATATTCACTCACTGATTTTCAATTATCCACTCATATAATTTTAAACGTTATGTTCCCTTAACGCCAAATGTCTGAAAACTTGTTATAATTGTGCATTGACGTTTTACACTTGTATTTGGTGCACTGATGGCATACTTATATTAACCAGACATGTGCAGTGTAAACATGACAGACCCAACACGTCTCTATCAGATGGACCTGTAGCTGGGAGATCGCGGTGACATGTCCTGTCTGTGTCTCGATCACCTCGGCTTAACTGAGGCAGAGAGTTGAAGTGGAAAGGGACTACGGCCTGACAAGCTGTCGGGTGTAGACTTAGGGTTTCACTTAAAGTGCCAGCAGAGAGTCTGAGAGGGGCATCAGGCGAGACCATTCTCCACAACATTGAGGAGACGTATGGCTTAGGTTGTCTTGTATTTTTACCACAGTCGATAGTGTATGCAACAGAGAGAATGAGATCATTTATCATTCCTTTTTCGTACAGAGCTTTGGAGGTTGTTAGTTGTGGCTTTCTATGTGAAAACACCAACAGAGGTAATACAGAATCTATGCTTCTAAATATATTGATTAAAACTGGATAACATTTTTTTTTTCCTTTTTACCTTATCACTCCAAAGCCCCCCTCAATCACAAAATGAGTCATGAAGTAATACGTCAAATGTTGTCCAATATGAACCTGATGGTCAGTCTATCACATGTAACGAAATAAGCACTAACGACAGCAGGATTAGGAAATGTGGTCAAGGACCCTACAATCACTTCCTCCTTATTCAAATGTCCAGAATAAAGGACTGTGGTCAGCAAAACTCCCTCAATCACCACTCAATTGGCACCAGAATGAAGACCTGTGGACAAGCCATTGTCAAATCTCCCTAATCTCTGCCATGATCTGAGAATCAATGTATCGTCAATAAGCTTGATAAATTCCCTTACCAGGAGCATGACAATTCCTAATCTTTTTAGTCTGTAATAAAGTAGGTTCTTATTCGAGGAAGCCCATGCAAACAGTCCTACATTTTCAACCGCCTTGTCCTCCTACAAAGGAAGCCATAATACTGTCTGAACGTAACAATGGGAAATACCATTGTGTTCCCGACAGATACAAAGGATGGCCCCCAAGGGAACAGGTCCAACGAGAGGCTGTAAAAATAACACTTTTCATTACCATACTTAACGATAGTCATTGGCTCTGTGGGGTTTCATCTTTCCATTGACATCACGTGTTGAGCACAATGGTTGAGTGTTGAGAGCTTGCAGACAAATCCGACTGAGACAGCAATTGCCAGGTTGATATGAAACTTAATTCAGGAGCGCTGATTCTCAAGTGGCTGTTGACTTTTCACGCGGATGACTAAAGAGGCAATTAAGGAGCGGTGGTTGTTGTTTCCAATGTATTCCTGTTCTGGTAATTAGTGCCAGTGGATATATCTACAGGTTACGTGTATACCATTGGTGGACATTATTAAACCTTGCTCACTGTGTTCAGGGGGCGGTGGGGTAGCCTCGTGGTTAAAGCGTTTGCTCATCGCACTGAAGACCAAATTTGATTCCAAAAAGTAAGAAGCCCTGGTGTCTCTCGCCATGATATTGCTGGAATGTTGCTAGAAAAGGCATATCATTTCATTCGCTATGTACTAGATCCCAACCCTTCATTTTCAGCTGAAAAATATATATTAGTTGTCTGCTGTGTCCGAAATCATTCTTGCAAATAGTTCCTTTTCCGTGGAGTATTTACTGCTGTTCAGCATCAATAATCTGTCAATTTGTAAAAATTGCGTCAGTGTAGTGGAGCTGGGCTGGTCAGAACATGCTTACCATTATGCCAAACACCTGATGTTTTACTGATGTTCAAAGGTCCATTTATATCATTTTAAGTTTTGCCCGTTATGCCAAAGGGAATATGAAGACTGGTTATTCTCTTGCATTGACGTTTCGTGTTTTTAGTTAATGTAACAACTATGTCAGATAGACTGACCTGATCATGAAGGTCATGGTATAGTAAGATCACTCATTACATATTTAACTTTGCATTTTCAGGACACATATTTCCAACAACTCAAAAATGAACTCATAACGGGTAAATGCACAGCATTATTATACATATCACTAAGTAGACTTTTGTGCTTCAGAAACACAAACACATTCCAAAGCCTGTACAGGAAATGGGTCACGTCATCTTCATGTCCATTCCATTATCTACACATGTTTATTGAGTAGGTTAGTAATATGACTGACTGAGTTTCTTTTACGCCTCTTTTAGCAATATTCCAGCAACATCACGGCGGGGACACCAGAAATGGGCTTCACACATTGTACCCATGTGGGGATTCGAACCCGTGTCTTCGGTGTAATGAGCCAACGCTTTAACCACTAGGTTACCCCACCGCCCCGTTAGGAATATGAACATCAGACTGTCTTCATTCTGTAGGCTGAGCTTCCGTCTGTTCGATTGTCTGTGTTTTTACCAAAACGTTATGTGCAGGTCAATCAAACTGCCTCCAGATAATGGATATGCAGGGATCAGTTTCATGTTCACTGTCGGGCGGTGGGGTAGCCAAGTGCTTAAAGCATTTGCTCCTCACCCCTAAGAACCAGGGTACTATTTGGTAATCACATTTCTTGGGTTCTGTGGTGATATTGCAGGAGCATGGCCAAAAGGCATTAAGCCATGCTCACTGTATGTCATGGTATGCTGAGGAGGAAATGTGCTAGGATGTTCTGAAGCTCGTATAGACGATTTGGTTAGGGATAATATTGTTGCCTGGCACAATTAACGACTCAATATTCACCAGCAATATATGTTCACACAACTAATAAAATTAATCACCAAGAAATGGGAATAAGTCAGGGGCCCAATCAACAAAGCATTCGTAGCCTATGGTAAATGACATTCATAGACCTATGGTAAATGACATTCATAGACCTATGGTAAATGACATTCATAGACCTATGGTAAATGACATTCATAGGCCTATGGTAAATGACATTCATAGGCCTATGGTAAATGACATTCATAGGCCTATGGTAAATGACATTCATAGACCTATGGTAAATGACATTCATAGACCTATGGGAAATGACATTCATAGGCCTATGGGAAATGACATTCATAGACCTATGGTAAATGACATTCATAGACCTATGGTAAATGACATTCATAGACCTATGGGAAATGACATTCATAGACCTATGGTAAATGACATTCATAGACCTATGGTAAATGACATTCATAGACCTATGGTAAATGACATTCATAGGCCTATGGTAAATGACATTCATAGACCTATGGTAAATGACATTCATAGACCTATGGTAAATGACATTCATAGACCTATGGTAAATGACATTCATAGACCTATGGTAATGACATTCATGACATGTGGTAATGACATTCAGACCTATGGTAAATGACATTCATAGACCTATGGTAAAATGACATTCATAGACCTATGGTAAATGACATTCATAGACCTATGGTAAATGACATTCATAGACCTATGATTCATAGACCTATGGTAAATGACATTCATAGACCTATGGTAAATGACATTCATAGACCTATGGTAAATGACATTCATAGACCTATGGTAAATGACATTCATAGACCTATGGTAAATGACATTCATAGACCTATGGTAAATGACATTCATAGACCTATGGTAAATGACATTCATAGAATGCTGGTATAGATCGGACATTCACTATAAGTTATGGTAAATGACTGATATAACTATGGTAAATGACAAATACAAAGAACTAGGTAAATCAGTTCATAAGTTGCCACAAAATGTAAGTATTTCAGTCATGTACATTTCAATTGTCAAGCAATGTGGACCCTATTAACCCTCATTTGCCCCAAAGAGTTATAGGGTCTCTAGATTTATCCTGGTACACATCACACATACTGTTCAATGGTCTAAGAGCAAAAGTCTAGCAACATCTGATAACTTGTTCGAAGATAAGGTTTTTCCTTCTTCTGTGTACACAATGTTGATTGGAGAGGAGTGTTAAATGAATGGCTTGTGTCGTAGAGCAGGAAACACTAGGCGAATGAGAGCCGGTGGATTAGTGAACCTACTATACATTGATAAGCACAGTTCAATTCTGCATCCCGTATAAAATAAACGTCTTTGTCTTGTAGACTGATATTTCACTAATGCAGAATTTAATCCCCACCGCTGACCTTTAAGGGTGAATGATAAATGTCAGTTTTGTGGAATGGATGAGGTAGTGCAGCGAGATCTAATATTTTGCGAGATACTTGACCTTTGTATGATAAATATAATGATCAAATATGTAATTAATTAATAGTAATATGCTCTTTTTCTGTTTTCAGGTGTATTTTTACTTTGCTGGTGGCCTTTCTTTACACTTAACATTATCAACGCCATCTGCATACGATATGACCTTGAAAATCACCCTGTGTGTAACCTTGACCCAATGTTATTTAGCTTTTTTGTGTGGTTGGGTTACATGAACAGTTTTTTGAACCCTGTTATCTACACAATATTTAACCCTGAATTTCGAAAGGCTTTCAAGAAACTGCTTGTTCAACCATGCAAATAACTGGACTGTGACCTTGAACTTTGAAAAAATGTGCCCTTCACCTTGCTATGACCTGACGCTGCTCCAGATGACCCCTGTTGCAGTGAAAAGGGCCAAGTGATCTGGAATGGTTCTTGTCCAAGAATAATCATGTTTGTGTGAATTCATCATGGGGAATCAACCAGAGACTTATTTGAAGGTCATGCCAAATGGACATAACTGCCTGACACCTTAGCTGTATGGACACTTATGGTTGAGGAACATGAATCTGTGTTAGTGTTATACTAGAAACTAGTATAGTATGGGCAATTATGCATTCGTTTGTGGATCCAGATTTGCCATGACTGCCGTCACCACCTGCTAATAATGCAGGACTGTTGTTCTAACCTTCAGACTTGCATTTTGTTATGACAATACATGGATGTAAGGTTGGAGTTGCATATTTGTACGATTACCAGTTACATTTTTAAGTTATGTGAAAATGCATCATCAAATGGCATATATTTGAATGAAAGTATTTGAACTTGTTTGAACAACGCTTGGAGGCAGATATTTACTATTCATAAAGGTAACATATCATTTTGTTATGTAAACCAGTTCCCTGGGTGTGGACAACAACATAGAAATCTTCATACATCAGGCTTCACGATGTTTTTCAAACATGACGGTTATATAAACTGTAGATGAATGAAATGAATTGCCGAAATAGATAAGTCCAAATAGAACCATGATCGCAGTTCGAGTAATGAGAAAAATGAAATAATGACAATTCTTTCAGCGATCAAAGCTTCCTACTAGTTAAAAGGGACATTTTGTTATGTTTAATATGATAAATGCCTCCAGTGTTGTTACATGCGTCATATCTTATAAGGTGGACCCCTTCCTGGTATTGATTTGAGAAATGTACAAATACGTGTTCATATATGAAATATATGCCATTTGAGGGATAATTGTTTTTCGTTGTTTATGGTTTATTTGTCTATAGTCTACACATATTCTACATGAACGGTCATGTTTCGTCCTAGAGTTAAATGCAATCGTAATAACCCAACAATCCATGGCATTTGCTCAAATGAATCACGTCATAAGAGGATCAAGCAATATTTTTCTAAGGAAGCAGGACATAGCGTGTCAATATCACCAGTGTTGTTCATAGACAATGTGTCATTGTTAATCATCATATATACTCATCACCTTCAGAGTTGATAGTAAAGATGGATAAAGATAGAATTGCTTCATAAGTAGACCGTATAAGAGCATGGGATAAGACAGTGTGTAGACACATAAAACTGGATTACAGGGTCTGCACACTCTTACATCGTGCAAGAGAAGGTTATGCCGTGAAATTTATTCTCTTTCCAGGAAATGGTATGAGCATGAGGACAGGCTGTTCAGAAAATTGAATTGCCATTTTGTTATTGTTATGGCATGTCCACTTATATGATGTATGCCATATTACAAGATCAAGTACAACACAATGGAAAACAATACCTGCTTGCACAATTCTTCTGTATTAACAGCAAATACGCCTTTGTCATAATGGCCTTAGCTGACTTTTCCAAATATTGGAAGGAAATCAAAAAAGGAAAATCCAAAACAGGACATATACCAAAATGTCTTGTTTTCGGTTACACTCTTTTTGCTGTTATGTAAATTGAATAGATATATGTCATTTGTATTCAGGTAATGTTTATCAGGTATAAATTGTTAACATAGTTAATATATTGTTAATTAGGAGAATGTATATATACAAAGCTGGACGATTTAATTAACCTCACACTTCTCTCTGGTTCATAGATAGTATTGACTAAGCCATGCAGTGATGAGACACAGTGATCTCATGTTTAGAGATTAAGTAACTCTTTGGAGAGGTACATGAGAAAACTGTATTCGATACAGTGTTTGTTAGATTGAAAGTTTAATAATATCAATTGTTAGTGGTTAAGAGGGTAATGATGTGTCATGAACGATGCCATTGGGGATTAATATGATGCTCTCCTGTAATTCTCTCTACCAACAGCCATGGTTAGGGCATGGACAGGTATTGAAAACAGGAGGTAGAGATGTGTTTGAATGCATTCATACATTGTGGTGTTATATCGGCTGTGATATATATCATATTATATGTATATATCATCTAGTTTCAGTCAACATATCATCAGTCCCCCTTCCTGACTGACGACCCCGGGTCAGAGGGGGACTGAAAATATGTTTTGCACGTGCAAAATGTCCCAAATGTTTCTCAAGCATGTTTTGCACGTGCAAAATACAACTGAAAGACTAAAATCATATTTGGCACGTGCAAAAATCTTACTGCTTTGGACCAAAGCTATGTATATGTTGCACGTGCAGATGTAACAGTCAAACAGTTGTGTTTTTTATGTATTTCAGGTGCAAAATTTCGCAATGAAAATTAAAGTTTTATTGCATTAACAATAATAATTTCAAGACATATATACAGGTACAGTATCCTCCCAGTACCTACATTGAAGAAATATCACTTGAAATGTACAATAAATATTTAGAAAGGCCAAAAATCTAAACGGTTACATTGTGATTTATTAAGTTAAGTCACATGTAAACTACATTACCCCCAAACTAAACTGCATTGGTAACATTGGCCAAATGCACATTTTAGTATTGATGACATTGATTGCCAGTAAGTTAAACTAAAATCCCATGATGAGACTCTTGGGTGCGCTGCGAAATATGTCATTCAAATCCATTTTCAAATTTTATTTAAAAACTAGTTATTCCCCTTGATAGGCTGTCTTTGTTGTCAACTGCACTCTGTAACTGACAACAACGTTGTTGACTGCATACAGGTTCTTGCTGGAATGCGAGTATCCTGTGCTTTTCTTGACTCTTCTAACTCCCTGTTTGTACTTCAAGACTACAACAGGCACATGCGCTTATCGTTCACGTTTAAGAATAAAATAATGTTATATAAACATTTACTTCTTTGTTTTCTGTCATGATATGATTTGCTCCTTGCTCAGACCTGCACAAAACCCATGAAGATTGGGAGGCCAGACTCGCTGACTTGGTTGATGTATGTGCTCATTTCCCAGTTGAGTTGATCGGTGCTCATGCTGTCAATCACTGGGTTGTCTGACCCTGACTCAATTATTAACTGAATTAGTTACTGAAGACCAATTCTAACCCGGATCTTCACGGGTCTGTCATTGAAGTAAGGATGAGCATTTTTGTAAGTGTGGATTTACGTTTGATGAAGTATGGATGTCGGTGTATTGACAAATGGCTATGAATTTCGCCAAATAGTGATATACGTGTGTCGAAAAATGCATGTGTGTTTGTTAAAATAAGGATAAGTGTTCATCAATGAAAATATATGCAGTAACTAAAGCCCTGATGAAGCATGCATCTACGTCCTTTAAAGCGCACAAGATGAACCATGGATATGCAATGAAGTATGGACATAAGTTTGTTGAAATGTGACTGTGTTTGTTGAAATATGAATATGTGTTTGTTGAAGTACGAGAATACGTTTGTTGAAGTACGAGAATACGTTGTTGAATTGTGAGTATATGTTTGTTGAAATATGAGGATGTGTTTGTTGAAAATGAGCATATGTTGTTGTTGTTTTTAAATATGAGGATGTGTTTGTTGTTCAAAGTATGTATGTTAAAGCACGAGGATACGTTTGTTGAAGTTTGAGTAAATGTTTACTGAAATATGAGTACAAGTTTGTTGAAATATGAGTATGTGTTTATTGTAGGACAGTCGAAAAACAGGTTCACAAAATTTTACATTCCTTAACTGTATCATGAAGCAGGTTGGCCAACCAATCAAAGGCTTCACGGTTCCTGCTTGCGTCACTCGATTGTACCAGGATCCGGAGATTCAATACTATGGACTGAATGTTGATCAGTACCATATCAATAATATTGCTATCAACTCTTTGCATTTAGGGTTCAATACTGTTTAACCGTGAACGATCCGGGTTAAAATTGGTCTTCAGCAACCTATGCTTGTAAGCGGCGACTAACGGGATCGGGTGGTCAGGCTCGCTGACTTGGTTGACACATGTCATCGGTTCCCATTTGCGCAGATCGCTGCTCATGCTGTTGATCACTGGATTGTCTGGTCCATGATCCTTATCTGAGCACCATGTCGCTGATCACCTTATATTTGACGTACCTCATGTCTTACACTGTATTGAATCAATAATCAGAATACGTTGGATCCTTCTGTGCTGACTGAATCATCTGACAGCAGTGATTGGATGACTTTGTTTGAGATTTGTGTATGTTTTTTTAAATGTACATCCATTCATCAATTAAAACTAATCATATTTCTCAATATTAAGTGCAGCCTTTATTAACATGATAACTTACGATGAATGTGATCACATGTAGTGAGTGAGTTTAGTTTTACGCCGCACTCAGCAATATTTCAGCTATATGGCGGCGGTCTGTAAATACTTGAGTCTGGATCAGACAATCCAGTGATCAACAGCATGAACATCGGTCTGCGCAAATGGGAACCGATGACATGTGTCAACCAAGTCAGCGAGCCTGACCATCCGATCCCGTTAGTCGCCTCTTACGACAATCATGGGCTACTGAAGATCAATCGTGATCACATATTTTTGCAAGTGGTGACATTTTGTACGTAGCTTGGTTTGAACACATTAGCCTCCTTTACTCGGAAAAGGATCAGGTGTAGGTGATCAATTTTATATTTGTTTTTTTTATTATTGTTGCTTTAAGGCCAGAGTGTGCACAAATGTACATGCAACAGATGACGAGGGTTTAGCTATTTATTTTGAAAATATAACGTTACTATAGAAATCAATGGGATTTTGATTTGTAACCTAATATTGTACGTAACAATCGTTCAGCGGATCAGTATTTCTTTATTCTTATTTCAATTTTACAAAATGGATTTCTCTTGACTGTGTGTTTTCGTGGTTTGGTGATGTACGTTTCATTGCCATTTACATATATAACAAGTTTCAGATTAAGAAATGATTCATCTATCTTTAAGCGTCTATGAGGTTTCATGGCTACAGTGTATAGATTCCATTGACAAGGAGTAAGTATACTACCCACTTTGCTAAGGATCACAACTTTACTTAAACGTCGATTTATAATTTGAAATTGTCTCCATTTAAACTGGATAAATAAAAATATGGTAACCCATCGTTAGGTAATCATCCACTTTAATCTAACTTTATGCACTTGATATATGAGTAACCATAAAAAATGGTTTTCATGGCACCAATCAACCATTTTGCAAATCATGGAACTAGTCATTGACAAATAAACAACACCTGTCAATAGCAGGTATGGGATCCACAAGATGCAATGATATGCTGAAACCTAGGATCCATGCTTACAATAAGCTTAGATATTTAAACCAAATTCGACCCCACACCATAGTTTTCTGTTGAATCCATGATTTGATCCTTAGCAAAGTTTGAATAGTATAATTCAACATATTATACTAAGTTAACAATAACAGGCCCCTCAGATGTTGTCATCTCATCATCAAACACCCCAACCTCGCCACCAGACACCTCATTCAAAGCCGGGCGGTGGGGTAGCCTTGTGGTTAAAGCGTTCGCTCGTCAGGCCGAAGACCCGGATTCGATTTCCCACATGGGTACAATGTAAGAAGCCCATTTCTGGTGTTCCCCGCCGTGATATTGCTGGAATATTGCTACAAGCGGCGTAAAACTGAACTCACTCATTCATTCAAAGCCTATTGTCACTTCCTCTTCGTGCAGAGCTTTGTGACAACTTCCACATTTAAGCCATATACCATTAATGCGTCAGCGCATGTTCGATTCTTCTGAGGATGGAACATTTTAATCATATTGCTCATGAAAAGATTAAGTCTCTTCATTGTAAATATTCTTAACATAAACTATTGAACCTTAAATACTTCGGGGGTCTGTATACAATACGGCCACTCTCTCTAAACGGTATTCATCTGTAACCTGCGCATTTTGGTTCCACGTAGAAAGAGGCCGGCGAATGGTCTCTCTGGGCTTTGATATTTTCAAAACATTACAATCAATTTTACAAATTGACTGAATATTATGTCCGCCCATTTGACCGACCGCCTCATAATTACTGAGACGTTCGAAAGGGCTAAAATTAGTTTTTGAAGTATTGACACACTGTACGAATAAGAACTTCCTTTATTTCATGAGTGCGACTTTTCGATAGAGATGCCTCCTTGACAATGGTACAAGAATTTGTATGGAAACGTCGCACTCATGTAACAAGAAAAGTTGGTATCCTTGCAGGTTGTTAATCGTGTACTTCGGAACTTCTAAAACACTAAAATACGTTATTTTAAAAAGAACAAAAATACTTAGTTTTTTCGTAAATAATTTGATGAGTGACAATTCCAGTTATATTTGCACACTGACTCGTTTTGCAATTACCATTATATACTGACAATGAGATTTCACCTCCCCGTACTTCAAACAAATATTGATATCGTGTACAGATTCGTCGCCCTCAGTAATACTCAAGTATTTGAATGAGAGCGTGAGATATTGAAGCATGAAATAGATGATCTAAATATGAGGTATTGAGGTTTAATGGTATATCACGAAAGAGATTTTAGTTACACTGTTTAGGATAAGAGAGAGTACGAGGAGAGTGGTTGGGTCGCCTGTCACCCTGAGTTTGATTCGTGAATATAAACTCTGTCAAAAAAAGAAACGCAACCCCTGTATTTTAGAGATTTTGATCTGAAGTTTTAAGACGACACAGCATTTTTATTATTTAAGACAGAAGTCTGAAATTTGGCAGAATAATAACCAAGATGGGCATGTTTAAAATTGTCATTTCAAAAGTCATCTCACAGACACCAGTTTGTCACCAGGGGGGGCGTCTTTCTCAGTATCTCGTATGAGCACCACGAGCTGCAATCACTGCACGGCATCTCCTTGGACAAGAACGGATAAGACGCCGGATTCTTTCCTGGGGAATGGCTCTCCACTCCTCCTGCAGTGCAACGCCGAGCTGTTGCAGCGTCTGTGGCGGCGGCTGACGTTGACGTACGCGTCGACCCAGAGTATCCCACAGGTGTTCAATAGGGTTGAGGTCTGGTGATTTAGAGGGCTATGGCAAGACATTGACGTTGGAATTCTGCAGAAAGTTCATTGTTGCACGTGCAGTATGAGGCCGGGCGTTGTCTGGTTGAAAAATCTGTGTCTGTTGGTCAATAATCGGGAGAAGGTGAGGCTGTAATACGTGGTTGATGTAACGTTGGGCTGTCAGGTTCCCTTCAACGATCACCAAGTCTGATTTCTGGTTGTATGAGATGGATCCCCAAACCATAACGCTTTCTCCGCCAAATCTGTCCCCCTGTCGGACGCAGATGGGCGCAAAACGTTTATGACGTCTCCTATACACACGTTTTCTTCCGTCGTGATGTTGCCAAAGGAAACGGGATTCATCAGAAAACCAGATGCGCCTCCAGTTTTGTAAAGTCCATATCCTCACGTTGTTGCACCACCTGAGTCGTCGGCGGAGATGTAGGGGGCGTAGTACAGGTCCAACAACTGGTCTACAGGCACGTAAACCCGCTTCTTTCAGACGGTTCCTAATCGTTTGAGCTGACACTCTCCTCAAACCTGGTATTTGTGTGGCAGTCACGGTTGGTAGGGCATGCCGATTACGCAGGTGATGGACCCGGATGTACCGATCTTGAAGGGGGGTCGTGATTCTTGGCCTTCCACTTCTCGGGCGATCGTTGGTCAAATTGAAGTTGTTGTAGCGGCTCCAAAGTCGGGATATCGTTGTTTTGTGAACATTTAGGTGCCGTGCAACAGTTCCAAAACTTTCTCCGGCTTGAACACGACCAATGGCGATATTTCGGTCGGCAGCACTCAATCGTGGCATTTTAACACAGCTTTTCGGCGACAAATGAATGAATATAATACGGAAGCACATGGGCTTTTATACAC